GCTCAGTCAGATAAGCATCTGACTTCAGCTCAGCTCATGATCTCAGGGTCCTGCGATCAAGCCCCACATCAACTCCCTGCTCAGCAGGGGAGTCTGCTTCTCCCTCCTTTTACACCCCTCTCCCCCACTCATGCTTGAGCACACTCTCTCTCTCTCTCAAATAAATAAATAAAATCTTAAAAAAAAAAAAAAGCTAAAAACTACAATTTCACTTTAAGATAAAAACAAATAAAACTTCCTAGAGAGGGGAGCCTGGGTGGTTCAGTCAGTTAAGCGACTGACTCTTTGATTTTTGGCTCAAGGCGTGATCTTAGGGTGGTGCAACAGAGCCCTACATCAGGCTCCACGCTGAGCGGGAAGACTGCTTGAGATTCTCTCTCTCTGCCCCCCACCCATCAGCTCACACATGCTCTAAATCAATCAATCAATCCTTCAAAAAATAGTGGTGATGGTTGCACCACTCTGAATGTACTAAAAAGCCACAGAATCATACAGTTTAGAAGGGTGAACTAGGGATCCCTGGGTGGCGCAGCGGTTTAGTGCCTGCCTTTGGCCCAGGGCGCGATCCTGGAGACCCGGGATCGAATCCCACGTCGGGCTCCCGGTGCATGGAGCCTGCTTCTCCCTCTGCCTGTGTCTCTGCCTCTCTCTCTCTCTCTCTCTCTCTCTCTCTCTCTCTCTGTGACTATCATAAATAAATAAAAATTAAAAAAAATTAAAAAGAAAAAGAAGGGTGAACTGTATGATGTATGAACTATTTCTCAAAACTGTTTTTAAAAAGGAACTCTGGCATGAGACCATGGTAGTGGGGAAGGCTGTGCACATGTGGAGGCAAGGAGTATGTGGGCAATTTCTGTACCTTCTACTCAATTTGCTGTGAACCAGAAAGTGCTCTAAAAAATAAACTCTGTTTAAAAAATAAAATGAAGTTGTCCTGTTTATAGGAATCATGATCACCTCCACGTAACTGCAAGAACCCTAATTTTTAAAAAATATTCAATTATTTTACAATGTATTTAAGGCAGAGAAGTGAACTAATAATTTTAAAACACATTTTTCGTAATCACGTCATAAACATTTTAGAGTCATCTTGTAAAAAAATTTCTAATGAAAGACTCTATTTTTCTGAATTAGTAAACTCTTTAAAAATTACTTACACTTTTGCCAAAAGATTATTTCATTTCCACCCCCTTTTTTCCTTTTACTAAATACCTATATTGTTTGACTAGAAACAGCTATGTGTGCAATCCTCACAATCCAGTTTGGGACACTTCTATGCCCTAAAAACTTCCTAGTACCCATCTGGAGTCAATCTCTGCTTCCACATCCAGATCCAGGCAGCCATTAAAAAACTTTCAACTGTAAAGTTTGGCTTTTTCTAGAAATTTCAAACAAACAGAACCATTCAATGTATAATGCAACCAACTTCTTTCAGTTAGAATAATGTTTGTGAAGTCATTCATTTTGTTGTACCTGTCAGTAGTTCATCCTTTTTCATCGTCGAGTGAGTAGTATCCTATCATACGGACATACCACATTGTGTTTATCCGTTTATCAGCTGGTGGACATTTGAATTGTTTTCAGTCTTTAGCTATTACAAATAATAGTGCAGTAAGCAGTCACATAAAAGTCTGTGTAGACATGTATTTCATTTTTGTAAGGGACTTAGAACTAAATTTGCTAAGTCATATGGTAGATGTTTGACTTTTTAAGAAGCTGCCAAACTTTTCCAAAATGACTGTATAAATTTTACATTCCCACCAGCAATGTATATATAAGGTTTCCAATTTCTATACATCTTGCCAACAATTAGGACGATCTATTTTTTTTTTTTTTGCTTTAATTTAAATTTTAGCCAGTGAATAAGAAGAACATCCAGCCTTTTCCTCCTGTGTTTCTGCTGTACTCTCCCACTCTATCACACTCATACCACTTCTGGTCACCAAACATGGGGCATCTTTCCTGCACCAAGCAATTCACTGAGATACCAGTGAGGTATCCGGCCATTTAACTCACCTCTGACACTGTGTACCTGTAGACAGCGTCACAGTCCAGGAAGGGCTCAGTCCCAGGAGATTGTCCACCACTCACCCTCCTCTAGGAGGAGGTCCCAGGCTATCCACTTCTGTTCAACTTGGCTACAAATCAAAGGTTCCCTCGACCTCCCCCTCAGTTTATTAACTTGCCAGAGCAGATCACAAAACTAAGGGAAACACATTTACCAGTTTATTATAAAAGGATATGAAGGACACAGAAGAATGTCCACATGGAAGAGATGGGAAGGGCCAGGTACATGGAATGGGGCACAGAGCTTCCACGCCCTCTTCAGGCCAAGTCACTCTCGGCACCACTACTTGTTTATCTACATCAACCCAGAAATGCCATAAACCTCAAACTTTTTTGGAATTTTATGACATCTTCATCACAAAGGCAGGACTGATCATTAGCTCCATTTCCAGTCCTCCTCCCTTCTCAAAAAATTGGGACTCAGGTCTGAAAATTCCAAGCTTCTATCATGGCTTGGTCTCTCTCAGTGACAAGCTCTCATCCTGGAGCTCTCGAGGGTCCCACCCAGAGCTGCCTCATTAGAACAAAAGACATTCGGATCACCCAAGAAATTACATGGTTTCAGGAGCCCTACGTCAAGAATCTGGGGCAGAGATCAATATATTTTTTTCCTATTACTTCACACCCAGTTTAGGGGGCATACTGGTGGCATTTCACTGTGATTATTAATACCTAACGATGGGGAGTGTCTTTTCACGTGCTTATTTGCCAGAGTTATTTTAACTGTCTGTTAAAATTTCAGGCCCTTCTTAAAAACTGGGTTGGTCTCTTTATTGAGATGTAATGTCTCTATACATTCTGGATTCAAATCCTTAATCAAATATGTATATTTTGCAAATATTTTCTCCACATCTATGGCTTATATTCTCATTTTCCAGATAGTGTTTTTAGAACTGCAAAATGTTTTGTTTTGATGAAGTCCATTGTATCAAATTTTTTGATGGATCAAGCTTTTGAGTGTTTTAGCTACAAAATCTTGACCTAATCCAAGATCATTAAGATTTATTCCCACGTTTTCTTCTAAGAGTTTCATAGTTTTATCTCTTATATTTAGGTCACTGATCCTACATTTTCTTCCAAAATATTTCCAATTTTACATTTAAATCTATGACCCATTTTTGTGTGTAGCAGGAAGTAAGCGTTTAAGTGTCATTTTTTAACATACGGATATCCAATTGTTCCAGCACCATCTGTTGAAGACTATCCTTTTTTCCAATGCATTACCCCCTGGCATCTTTGTCGAAAATTGACTATATATGAGTCTATTACTGACTTGGTTATTGACACTGATTTATTTCTCTATGGCTATAGTTTTATAGTAAGTTTTGAAGTGAGATATTTATGAGTTTTTATTGCTTTGTTCTTTTTCAAAATTGTTTCAGCTCTTCAAGGTACTTTGCATTTCTGTATAAATTTTAGAATAAACCTCTCATTTTCTATAAAGAGACCTATTGAGACTGTAATAGGGATTGCATTCAGTCTATAGATGATCGACTTGTTTTCCAATTCATAAAGATAGTATATCTCTCCATTTATTTGGGTCATCTTTAACTTCTCTCTGTAATGTTTCATAGCTTCCAGTGTACATAAATACTCATTTTGAAACACCAATAATAAACATCTTACTTAAACTTTAAACCTGGTATCAAATTATAATAGTAAATACTAATTATATTACTAATAGTAATACTGTTTACTAAGTTTTTACAAAAATTATTTAAGAACCTTTCCAACACAATTTTCAGTTTGCCATTCAACAATGGCATAAATAACAATGAACAGATAGAGCAAGAATCTGTTACCTTATGAAATCTACAGGTTATAAACCACTCATAAATCTAAATAGGAAAGAAGTTAATACCTACCTCAAAGATGGAAACTGCTTTCACTATTCTACCCACAAAGTGTCTGGTAGCAGAAACTAAACACTCAGTATAATTTTCTTCCCTAACTCCCATCAAACCCAACAAAATTCCATAAACTAGAGTCTCTCTCTCTCTCTCTCTCTCACACACACACACACAAACACAAATTCTCTCTACATGTATGAGAAACATAATACTGAAAACACAATCAAATAGACAATCTTCAGTCTCTCTCTTAATCTTTATAGCATTTTTGTCTCTAATTTTGAATGTATAAGCTTTCACAGAAGCATATTTGTCAAATAATATAGGGCTCAGGTTCTATCACAGGTTTAAATTATAAAAAGTTTTTTTTATTTTAAACCTTGAAAAGTATGTTAACAAAGGCTTTTCCATGAGAAACCCTCATTCCAAATAAAAACATTCTGCAATTCCTACGAGAAGCCATGTATAATTATGTTATTTATAATAGAAAAAAAAAAACTACCCAAATGTCCACTGACCAGATACTATAAACTGTGGTACTTCTTTACTGAGTATCATATATTACTGAATATTGTATTATAGTAAAAATGTCTATTTTTTGACTTTATAGTATATACAGCATGATGAAAATGTTAACTGTAACACTGAAGGAAGAAAAAAAGAAAATCCAGTCCCAGAAGACAATGAGCATCTGACTCTGAGCAAAACTAAACATACTTTTTGCACACATACATTTATAATAAAAATAATCTTTAAAGAGGCAAAGCAATGATATCCACCAACTTGAGAGGAACAAATTATATGGGATGAGGAGCAGAGGGGGCAAGAGGAGACAGGAATAGGAACCACTGCACATAGGAATTAGTAATGCTCTAGTTCCTGGGTTGCACGAAGGATTTAAACATCTTATAACTCACATTATGTCATCAAATTCGTTCATAAGCCTAGTGATTATATTAAAATATTTTAAAAATTACAAGCAATACTTATTTTTTTAAAATCACCCATTATAAAACATCTTCCAGAAGCTTAACTAGGCACTCAAGAGAATACACATCAAAAACAACTTTTTTAAGTTTTTACCTTTGTTTCTGTTCAATTGCTTTGTCCAAGTGCTGGAAGATATCCTGAAACAGGGTGCAGCTGGATCGACTATTAATAGTATACCCATAGCCTCTTTTCCAATATTGCTTCAGGTCATTTAAATATTCTAATACCTAAAAATAAAGATTTCAAGAATCATTAGTATTACATTTCTTTATGTTGAGGTTCCTAATTTAATAATGATTCTAGGAAAGTTTACATTGTTTAATTATCGTTCTACACAAAGTACAGTAGAATCTTAGCATTCATCAAGTTTGTATTTGCCATTTCAAGCTTTTAAGAGTGCCCCAAAGGTCCATGACACAGAGAGATTTAGGATAAGACACAAATCTGAACTGTGGGAATGTAGAGGCTGGCATGCAAGAGCAAGTTAGTAGTACTCATGGCCAATAATCCAGCATCCGTGACAGTTCAGGACTGTCAGAGGTTTAAAGACATGTGCTCACTTCCTCTTTCTGCCAAAATTATATTGAAGTGATAGCAAAAAAATATACAGAAAAAAAGATACAAATAAAAGAATATTCACTATAGCGTGGAAAGACACTAGCAATGGATAGGGAACTGTTAAGAATTTTATGAAGCTAGAAACTAGACAGAAAACAAGTCGCTTTGATTCATGTACCAGTTTTGCAAAAATAGTAATAATTTAGATCAAGGATATAGAAAAGGAATGTATATTGCTACAGATGTTCTAATGGGCAAATTGGCGAGATCCATAAAAACACACATTTCTATGGCCCATTTCTTATGAAGTCATAGTCACAGATGAACCTAAGAGAGAATGTCTAAGAATGTCTTACAGCAGCACTGCTTATAGATAGAGCAGAAAAAAGAGATTCCTGGAAATATTGAAATTTGGTTTCAATGGTTGACTAAACTATGGTATACACATACTATGGAATACTATGTCGTTATTTAAAACTTCTATATCATAGATCTACGTGTACTAATGTGGAAAGATCTCCAAGACATACTGCATGAGAAGGGCAGGTTAAGAATAATAAATACAGTATAAAACCATTTATCACCAAGACATGCATACCCACAACACACACTATACTGTTTATAGTTCTAAGAATGATATAGATTATAAATAGCACAGAAAAATGTTGAAAGAGACACATCACAGGGACTGATCTCTATGGAGAGGTCTTGAATTGGAATTGGTGATTAGGGTAGACTTTCTTTGAATGTTAAACTTCATACTCATGTATCACATGGTCAAACACCCAAACTAGAGGACTAAAACACCAATGAAAAGAGGTACAGCAGGCGCCTGGCTGGCTCAGTTGGTAGATCAAGAGAACTCTTGATCTTGGGATTGTTGAGTTCAAGCCCAACGTTGGGTACAGAGCTTACATAAAAATAAAAATAAACATAAAAATAGGTACAAGGCTCTGCAGTAATTACGAGTTATTCTTCCCCGAAGAAGCCCCTAGAGAAACTAAGCACAAGCCATAAGTTTAAATGCAGGAGCAAGGGCACCTGAGCAAGGGCTCAGTGGCCAAGCGTCTGCTTTGGGTTCAGGTTGTGATCTCAGGATCCCGGGACTGAGCCCCGCACTGGGTTCCCTGCTCCATGGGGAATCTGCTTCTCTCTCTCCCTCTGCCCCTGTCCACCAAATCGCGTTCTCTCCTCCTCGTTCTGCTCTCTCTCAAATAAATTAATTAAATAAGTAAATAAAAATTAAAAAAAAATTTAAATCTTGAAGATTTTTTAAAAATCACACATGCACTATTGAAACTTTATCTTAAAAGAATTTGAAAATGTAAATAAGAAGCTTTTCTAGGAAAATCTAAAATTACCCAAATTGATGCAGAAAAATCTGACTATACCAAATAACCAGAGACAAAGATCTACCTGAAAGACACCACGCATACTCAGTTTTAAGTAGGAGCTCTACCCAACCTTCAAGAAGAGTTAGTTCCTAATATTTAAACCATTCCAGGGCACAGGAGAGGATGGAGAGCTTCTTAACTCACTTTAGGGGGATGATGGAAGCCTGTACCCAAAACCCAACAGAGAAAGCACATAGGAAAGGGGCGAGGAGCGAAACTGCAGCCCACTGCACTGCAATTCCTGTCCTCTCAACTGTGGCTCACAAACATCCCCCCTACCTTCTAACCCCTCTTCCAGGAAAAGGAATAGCGTCAGGCCAGTAGTACCATCGCAGATGAGCCCGGGCCCTAAGCCAACCTCACTGTAAACATAATTTACTGAATGTGAAATACATCGCTGCCCCCTCCCCAAATTCAGCAGTATACTGAAAGAATGCACCGTCTGCCAGGATGGAGAGACTGACATTAGGCATGCCCTCCAGACATACACAAGTAGAAAACAAGACAAAATATGTACAATAAATGTTTTCAGTCACTGAGTAATGAGCACTGAACTGAGATCACGGAGACAAGGGAAACAAAACAAACCCTACAACTGCCCCAGGTTTCTCCCTGGAGGCAACTGCAAAACTGTGGCACAAGAGGGGGGTGGCGATCAGGGTAAGGGTGGGGGGTGGGGGAAGGGGATGTTGTGCAGAATCCTGCAGTCTTGCTGAGTTGAGGAATCAGAAAGCAGTCTTAAGGGGCTGGAATTAGCAGGGCAGTGTGCCGGGAAGGAGGAAGCTACACAGGAAAACCGCTCCAGAAACCTGGGGTCCTCTTGATTTTGCTGCTAATGTTGTGAATAAGTTGAATCCCAGACCTATCACAAAGCTGGGAGATATTCAAGTTCCAAGCAACTGAGGTAGGAGAATTTCAGTAGACACCCAGACATCCACAATTTCAATACAGACCCCAGAAGGGTCACACTTGAATAGTAAAGGCATTTTTACGAATAAAGGATTAGGGTTTTGTGGGTCAGAATTGGATTATGAAACTCAGAAATAAACCTCAAAAGGATCAAGCTGACCCACAAAAGTAAACTAACTGCAAAATGAAACAAAATTTGAAACTCTTTAAAGGAAGGCAACAGAGGTGTCTGGGTGGCTCAGATGGTTAAGTGTCTGCCTTCAGCTCAGGTCTGATCTCAGGGTCCTGGATGGGGCCCCATGTGGGGTTCCCTGCTCAGTGGGGCGTTTGCTTCCCTCTCCCTCTGCTCCTCCCACCTGCTTGTGCGCTCTTCTCTCTCTCTCTCTCTCTCTCTCTCACACACACACACACAATGAGTAAAAAAGAAATCTTTAAAAAATATAAACTAAAGGAATGCAAAAAAATTTAGGCATTCAACAACATAATATTCACAATGTCCAGCAGTTAATAAAAAATTGCTAGAAACACATGAACAGGAAATGTAAGCTCTAACTAGGAGAAAAAGCAGTCTGTAAAAGAATTTATCTTAAGAAAGAAAATATGCAAGCATGATTCAATACTAGAAAATGTACTATCATAATTTACTATGTTGGAAGATTAAAGAAGAAAAAAACACAATCATCTTCCTAGATGACAAAATTCAACACACATTCCTGATTTTAAAAACACTAAATAAATAGAAGGCTTCAGTAAGCAAGAAATAAATTTCCTTAATTGGTAATGATAACTGATGTAGGAAACAAAGGCAGAAGGAAATACAAATAAAATTAAATATCCTTAGTAACCTGCAGCCCACTGATGAACACCTGAGATGGGGAGAGTGTAATGTCCTCCAGAAAGCTCCCAACTTAATGTCTTAGCAGTAATGCCTTGTTAGAGGGAAAAACCACCTGAGCTTGACAAAGGCAAGGCCTCTGGTATCTAGCAGGTCCTCTTTACATATGAAAGTTCTCTGAAAACCTCCCCCAAATTCCAAGTCTACCATTAGCTACCCCTCACAACCCTGTTCTGTCCCAGAGCTTTAATAAAACCACCTTTTTGTACCAAAGATGTCTCAAGAATTCTTTCTTGGTCGTCAACTCCAGACCTTACCCCACCAAACATCACCTATATTCCAAAACTGTATCACAGGGTACACTTGGAGGAGCAAAATCAACAATTTTTGTTTGAAACCAAGACCTTCAGAATGAAGCCAGAGGGGAGCCTCTCCAGACTGTACGGGATACACTAGCAGGTGACAGACAGGTATTCCATTTTGCAAGGATCTCAGAGGACAGCAGCTCTAAAATGGAAGAAACGCTACTCATCCCTGAATAGCAGCTCATCCGACTGGCTGGCTAGGGAGCAAGAAAAGCTAAACTCCAAAGATAAGTAATAATTAGAAAAGGGGACTAGCAGAGCATCCCAAAAAGCAAAGGAAAAAGATAAGAAACATAAGCTCGGGGCAGCCCGGGTGGCTCAGCGATTTAGCGCTGCCTTCAGCCCAGAGTGTGATCCTGGAGACCAGGGATCAAGTCCCACATTGGGCTCCCTGCATGGAGCCTGCTTCTCCCTCTGCCTCTGCCTCTCTCTCTCTCTATGTCTCTCATGAATAAATAAAATCTTAAAAAGAAAGAAAGAAAGAAACAAACAAACAAACAAACAAACATAAGCTGGTATAACATCAAAAACAGTAAAATTTGAAGTTCTACATAACCTGTGATCCAGCAACTCTACCACAGACACAGACCGCCAGAAATGTCTGTGTGTCCCCCCAAGAGACCTACATGATAAGGTTAATACCCCCAAACTGCAAACAGCCCAAATGTCTACCAAAAAGATAATGGACTAAAGAAAAAAATCCTGATAATTCATAAAATAAAATGCTATGCAGCAATGAAAATACATTAACTACTGTGACATGCAGCATCATAGGTGAATCTTAAAAACATGATGTTGAAGAGAGACATCTGGGTGACTTAGTTCAGTTAAGTCCCTGAGCAGGGAGCCTGCTTCTCCCTCTCCGTCTGCCCCTCACCCTGCTCGTGCTCCCTTTGTCTTTCTCAAATAAATAAATATATTTTTAAAAAAACATAATGCTGAAAACTAGGTACAAAAAAAAGTGTGTTGGAACACTTGGGTGGTTCAGTGGCTGAGTGTCTGCCTTCGGCTCAGGGCGTGATCCCAGGGTCCTGGGATGGAGTCCCGTATCAGGTTCCCTGCAGGCAGCCTGTGTCTCTGCCTCTCTCTCTGGGTCTCTCATGAAAAAATAAAATCTTAAAAAAAAAGGGGGGCATGATTTCATTAAAGTTAAGGTAAATCATTACTTGTGAAAAAATTAAAAATCAGTAAACACTAAATTAGTGTAATGAAGAAAACCATGAAAATACAAATACAGGGGCACGTGGGTGGCTCAGTCAGTTAAGCATCTGCCTTCAGCTCAGGTCATGATCTCAGGGTCCTAGGGTAGAGCCCTGCATCCAACTCTGCTCAGGAGGGAGCGCCTGCTTCTCCCTCCTCCTCTGCTCCCACCCCCACTTGTGTTACCACATGCTCTCTCTAATAAATAATCTTTAAGAAAAAGAAAAAAAAGAAAATACAAATACACAAGTAATAATAATGGGGAAATAATCTCCTATACAGAGAGAAAATATTTTGTTTAAAAAATTGCAAGATAGGAGCCCCTGGGTAGCTCAGTCTGCCTTCAGTTCAGGCCGTAGGTCTTGATCTCAGGGTCCTGAGATCCAGCCCAGAGTCAGGCCCCACACAGGGCATGGAGTCAGCTAGCAATTCTCCTCCCCCTCCTCTCCATCCCCCTGCCACTCGTGCACACATTCTCTCTAAAATAAATATATCTTTTTTAAAAAATGTTGAGATAAATCTACTAAACTCTATAAATAAATCTGAAAACCTGAATTTTTTTTTTTTTTTTTTTTTAGAGAGAGAAAAAGAGAGTGAGCACATGCGTGAGAGACAGCGTGCAACTGGATGGGGGCAGAGGGAGAGAGAAATCTTAAGCAGGCTCCACATCCAGCTCAGAGCTCACAATCCTAAGATCAAGACCTGAGTGGAAATCAAGTCAGACTTTTAACCCACTGAGTCACCCAGGTACTTCAAACCTGAATGGTTTTTATAAGAAAATATTAAATACCAAAACTGACTCCAAAAGAGACAAAATCAAGATACACTCATTACAGTATAAAATATATACAAAGTTGCAAAAAACTATCCAGCATAAAAGTACTAGTTCATGTGTCATTTCTTTTCTAAAAGTTGACTGTCATCAACTTTCTCCTTTATATATCCCTATACCTTATTCATATTTCTTATAGCCACTGTCTTACTGCGGGTTATCTGTGTCTTTCACTCCCTAGAAGACAATGCCTATATTATGTTAGAATCTTTAGTTCCAACCAAGTGCCTAGCACCAAGCAGGCCCCAAACAATATTTGCTTAATGAAGGCACATATGGTCCAGCATTTCACAAGGTTTTGGGTATCTAATAATCTCTGTGATTCTCAGAATTTCATAAATGTCTATTCATTTTCAATTTTTTAAAAATATCCTGATAAACAATTTCAAACGTGAAAAATAGTGAACAGTAATATAATGAATCCCTGTGTACCCATCATCCAACTTCAATAATAATCAATATTTGGCCAATCCCATTTTAGTTATCCTCCACTATCACCACTGGATTATTTTAAAGCAAATCCCAGACATTTTGTTTCATCTGTAAATTTTTCAGTATATAAACCTATTTCACAGTGTAAAGTTCTAAGCATATTTTCTGTCAAATCTTTAAAAAAGAAAATCACAGAAAACATAAATAAATCAAAAGAGAACTTTGTATTTTTAAATAAAAATTATTTGCTCTCTGTATATATAAAGAAAGCTCTTATTCAATTAATTTAATAAACATGTATTTCAAATTTTCAGATCATAAGAAGTTCTTTATTTACAAAGGAAAAAAAGTATCTCCACAATGGAGAAATCTGCCAGGTATCCCTTTAATCAAATGATCACACAAGTCATCATCAATAATGTGACAAAAAAAAAAACACGCACTGGAGGACACATCACTTACAGAGCATTCTTATCAAAAATGCTGAAACCTTGGGATCCCTGGGTGGCGCAGCGGTTTAGCGCCTGCCTTTGGCCCAGGGCGCGATCCTGGAGACCCGGGATCGAATCCCACGTCAGGCTCCCGGTGCATGGAGCCTGCTTCTCCCTCTGCCTGTGTCTCTGCCTCTCTCTCTCTCACTGTGTGCCTATCATAAATAAATAAAAATTAAAAAAAAAAATTAAAAAAAAAATTTCTTTAAAAAAAAAAATGCTGAAACCTTAATCTAATCAAAAGTTGAAAATCAAACACAAAGGCATTCTGGCAGAAAAAAGGGCAGGGGGTGGTGGCGCTGGACGTCTGCAAAAGGCCAATGTATAAAAGAGAAAAGAAAGGCTGGGGTACTTTTCTAGATTAAAGGAAACTAAAAAGACATGTGACAAGAAAATACAATGAGTGATCCTTCAATAGACCTTGAATTTAAAGGGAAAAAAAAACCTCTAAATAAGACAAATGTGAAAGCTTCAGTAGTGGCTATATACTAGACAATTATTGTACTGTTACATATATATATAATTATATTTTATCTATGTAGCAGAATGTTATTTTTTAGTACAAGGGTGAAGTGCTTTCATGTCTGCAAAGAAAAAAAGATTACATACATGAGGTAGACAGAATAAATGGCCCCCCAAAGATGTCTACATCCTTATCTCTAGAACCTATGAATATGTTATCTTTCATGACAAAAGGGAATTTGCCAGTGTGATTAAGGATAGTAAAATGAGAAAAATTATTCTGGGCTACTTAGGTGTGCTAATGTAACCAAAAAGATCCTTATAAGAAGGAGTTAGGAAGGACAGTCAGAGTAGGAGCTATAACCATAGAAGCAGAGGTCAGAGTGATTTAAAAAAAAGAGGACGAGCAAGGGGAAGTTGGCTTGGATGTGAGGGGTGAGTCCTCAGCACAGGGAAAGCAGCTTGCGCTTGAATCAGAAGCTGTCGGTACTTGCAAGAGACCACCTGGCCAGAGCTGCTCCAAACAGAGGGGCAGAGAGCAGAGGCCAGGGGAGCATGGGCCAGACATTCCACCAACAGCAGGAACCTGGGCAAACAAAGTTGTTGTTCTGCTAAGACGTGAATTTCCCTTGCCAGCACACATCAGCAAGGTACTCAAAGTTGCTTCTCTATCAACTTTTTTCGCTAATCTGGGTGGGGAGACAAGGGAGGTGAGTAATTTGACCCATGTGGATGGTGACCCCAAGTTTCAGTCTACACCTATTCTGGCATAATTACTAATTCTGTGGTCAGGAGGTTTCTAAGTGATGGGCTGGGGCAGTCAGAGGGGAGCAGCAGACAGAGGAAATACCACGCACCGTTACCCCTCGGGCTCAGTGACTGAGAGAGGTCGTCCACTGAGGGTCCTGTTCTCTTCTTCCAGCTTACCTGCTGAGTCCCGTTCCCACATGAGCACAGGAACATACAAAACCACCTTTGGCCAAACCACCTGGTTGTGGTCACTTTGGTCTTTGAGCAACGAAATAAAGCACTCGCTTACCCTCAAATAGTACATTAGCCCTCGGCCTGCAAGCCTGACTGTATCTGGCAAACAGGAAGTACACTTCTTTTAAGAACTTGACGTTAAGTTTTGAAGTTAATCATTGATTTTCATGTGGAATACTGAACGTTTCATATGTATGCAAGAGATGACTGAAGTTTCAAAAGTCCACATTCCTGAATGCTCCCTACAGACACCAGGATTCTATTCAATGTTGCTATCCTCGGTGCTCAGGAAGACAACGGATGCTCCCCGACCCTACCTCTCTGGCTCTCCACATCCCGGAAATGACCAGAATTTGCCTGCCTTAAGGTCATCTGGGGCCAGTCTGGCCTTCTCTGTCTAGACTCTAAAAGAAGTAATATGGCTGAAGAGGGAAAAAAGGAAATATGAGGCAGGCAGATAAACTGTAGAGGAATGATGGCCACCGCCAGGTAGAACACGGGGCTCATTTTATCACGAAAACTATTTAAAAAAAACAAGTTAGGTATCTGAGAAACCATTCGTCCTCTCTGAGCTCTGGCTTCCTATAAAAAGAAGAATTTGGATTTTAAGAGCTCTACAATCCTTTCCAGCAATAAAATCTGATGGGTAAAATAGGGTTTTGACTGGGTGGACCTAGAAATCAAATCGCCATGGAAAAATGTTTTCCAGAATTTTCTGAACCCAAACTATTTAGAAGCACCCCATCTAACCGCATCTCAACAATTTACCCCTATGCAAGGAGAGTTACATATTAGTCAAAGACAGTCCATGTTCTCTGCTCTGGTTATTTTTTTAAAAAACTGCTTCAAATAACAACAACAAAAATCATGCCCCCCCCCCAAAAAAAAACCCACAAAAACAACCAAAGAAACTGCAATAGCAATACTTACCTTTGCGTCATCTATGTCAAAAACATCACACCAAGGAGATTTAACACCTTTAATTGCCAGGTCAAATGAACAGGTGAAAAAAGCTACCTGAATTAAATCTGGGAGGGAAAAGAGAAAGGTAAAGTTTGTGAGTCACTATTCTCTGTAATCCTCCAAAGGCTAAATACCCACAGATGGCACATGCAGCACAGTCCAAGGACCCGGGCAGGTTGAGCACCGAGAAAAGATGATTCAGCTTTTTCCTACCAAAGAATGAAGACACGCTGTGTACAGCCTGAACAGGAGGATCTAGGACGGCCAGGAAGAAACCATGCGGAGGCACAGATTTCAGTCCAATGAAACTAAGTTAACTGGTAACTACCATTGTTCTGGCTTCAAAAGTAATGTGTTTGTTAAGAGCACAGTTGCCTACCAATTCCAACGAAAAGTTCAACCGAAGAACTCGTTAAACGTAACCTGAATTTCTCCCTTTTGGAGGGCTGGAGGAGGGAAGAGAAAGGTAGGGAAGCTTTCAGTCCCCATCTCGAAAATGAGCAGTAACCAACAGCTCTCTCAACCACACAGCACTTTGTGTTCTAACTGTGCGGAAGGAGGAGAGAGGGGACACAGAAACGCGAGAAGACTGCAGCCAGTGGCAGGAAGAATCAAGCTGGGACAGGAAGACAGAGAAACCAAGGGTCAAGAGGGAGAGAAACAAAGAGGGAAAAACCCCACTGGGGAAAGTGCGTGCTAACAGCATCCATTTTTCAAACTTGTTGCTCAGCCAGCCAGGCAGCAGATTTCAGAAGTTCCCTGGGATTTTCACACTGCGAATGAGCTGATTATAGTGCTTTTAGCTAACCCGGGGTTGCAGAGACGGGCGGGGCCCCAGGAGCCTGGGCTAGGGGAGCTGGCTGGGCAGTGGCGCACGGCCGCGCTCTCTGGACAGAACGGACAGAATGGTCGCGGTCGCTGCGGGGCTGCCTCCTGTGCTTTGCTTTCTCCTTAACGTCAGTGTCTTGCCTCGCTCCCAAGGAACCAGGCTTGAGTTTAAAGAACTCCCCTAAGCAGTATATAGTACAAAAGGAATACTTGAGGATACAAGTAAAAGCCATTTAAAAACTTAGTTCGTATAAACAAAAGGGTGGATAATCCTAATACCTAATAGGATATAGTGACTTCCAAGCCCCAGGGATGTATGTTTGCGAAAGAACCTGACTCATTCACACGCCAAGTTCTAGTTCTGAAACTATGAACGCCAAGCCTAATGGTCTATTCTTTAACTGGATGGGAGTTGACAGAAAAATTTCACCAAAAACACGTAAGGACTACAGGCGATGAGACCTATCTCTGCCACTAATCATCCTGAGCAACTGACTCCAGCCTCTCGGGTCTCAATCCTCCCATCTACAAAATAGGAAGGACAGACGGTCTCTCACGAGGAGTTACCGCCCTGACCCGTCTATTATGATCATGCTGACTTTCTGGGCAGTTTTTTAGAACCTCTGGTTATTTTAGTTATTTCAGAGATTTAAGTGTAAAAAAACTAAAATAAAATAAAGGAGGACATGGGAAAATATAAAAATCTTGGGTAAGAGGATTCCTAGGCAGAATACAGCATTGAACAGCCACGATGATGACAGACTTGGCCATATAAACACGCAACGGGTACAATCAACAGCACCAGAAACAGACTTAAAAAGTGAGCAACAAATTAAGAGAAAAATGTTAGCAACATACAATAAGCAAAGGATTTATACTTTGTCAAGCAAAATTAAAGGTTATATAATTAATATATCTATAACACATAAAGAGTCCCTAAGAACAGTAAGAAAAACATAAAAATAATCTAAGAAATGGACAAGAAAGAGGCAAACCGAAGAAGGAATGCAAGTAGCTAGCACACATGAAGAGACATGCTTATCTTCACAAGTAACCAAAGAAATGCAAACAAAAGCTAGATATCATTTTTCATTAATCAAATTGGCAAAAATCAAAACGACTAACAATCACTGTTGGATAAGAGAAGGGGAAAACGGGTATTTATATTAATTCCTACACTTTCAGAGAAGAATTTGGAAGTACATGTCAAGGTGTAAAATATTCATTGTCCTTAGCCCAACAATTCCACCCACAGTTATTCACCTTATAAATTCTTGAGAGCAAAAATCAAGACTATAAAAATGTTCACTGCACCATCATTTGAAAGGGTGAAAATCTAAGAAAATCCTCAGTAGGAAAATGATTTGCTACAAAAAAAATTTGCACTGTGTTGGCTCCAGCCCCCCCCCCCAGTAAAATCTGATGGGTTCAGTAAGTTTTTAACTATCATTGACTTAGAAACCGAATCACATATCCTATGAAATCACAAAGAATTCAAAAGAACGAGACAGAGCTATGTAAGACAGATATACTACTGAGTAAAAATGAGTTATAGAAAATACATACATCATCATCCCTCCATATTTAAAAAAAAAAGTATTTAAATAGCTACAATAGTTTTGAGAAATTCCTCCGCCAGGCATTGTGCTAACACTTTGCATGAATTAATCTCATATAATCCTTGCAATAATCCTAAAAGAAAGGTACTATTCCTATACCCATTTTACAGGAAAAAAAAAAAAAAACTATGGCCTATGGATAGTACTGAACTTGTAAAGACCACAGAGTTAGTAGTACAACAGTGTCAAGATTCAAACACAAACAGTCCAATTGCAAAACATGATTATAACCACGATGCTTATTTTGCCTCCAAAAAGAAGCCACTCTCAGCTACCCCATCAGTAAAACACAAATAATCAATGACTAAAAATTATGTCTTAAAAAATTTTCAACATCTAACCAGTCACTAACCAAATAATAGCCAGATACTAATATAGTTATATAATGGAATTCTGTAAATAAAGTTTAAAATGTAGCACTAGAATCACACACATTAAATAAAAAAATAAAAAGCTAAATTAAAATCAAATTTCAGACTGATATCATAGTTTGACATCTTTCATAAAAGTTTTAAAACCTGCAAAACAATAACCCAATTATGTGTAGAAACATAAATATTAAAGCTGGTGTGGGATGACTTAAATGCCCAATTCATGACAAAGACTACTACTGGGAAGAAAAGATGAGGAATAAGTCCCAGAGAGGGACCAAGGGACTTCAACTCATTTAAACCAACTAACTGCTAGCTTTTATTATTATCTACAGGCTTAAATTACTTCACATTAAAATAAACAACTTTTTTAAAAGAATTATTTTTAAGTCATCTCCACACCCAATGTGGACTCACAACCCTGATATCAAGAGTCACAGGCCTTACCAAATGAGCAGCCAGGTGCCCCTAAAATAAATAGTTTTTAAAGCTCTGTTGGTAAAAAAAAATAAAAATAATAAAAATAAAGCTCTGTAGGTGACCACAATGTTTAGCCATTTTGGGGAAAGAAAAAAATTCAATTTTATTTATTTATTTTTTTTAAAGATTTTTAGATTTATTTATTCATGAGAGACACACAGAGAGAGAGGCAGAGACACAGGCAGAGGGAGAAGCAGGCTCCATGCAGGGAGCCCAATGTGGGACTGAATCCGGGGACCCCAGGATCACACCCTGAGCCAAAGACAGACGCTCAACTGCTGAGCCACCCAGACGTCCTCAATTTTAGAGGCTAGTCCAGGTATCTTCACTCTTTTGATGTTTATAAAGCATTCAAAATCCATGATTCTAGTCTATTGTTTTCCTTACATCTCCTACTTCTAGACTTTTGGAAATTTACTCTCAATATAAGAAATCCAAAATTTGTATGTATGTTTGTCAACATTTGCTGTACAAATTATAAATTCTTAGATATCAGAGAAAAATCTCATTTTTTTAAAAAGATTTTATTTATTTATTCATGAGAGATACACAGAGAAAGAGAGAGAGGCAGAGACACAGGCAGAGGGAGAAGCAGGCTCCATGCAGGGAGCCTGACGTGGGACTTGATCCCGGGACCCAGGATTGTGCCCTGGGCTGCAGGCGGCACTAAACCGCTGCGCCACCAGGGCTGCCCTCATTATTTTTTCTTAATTTCCTATTGGTAGGTGAGCATATGCCCTGGCTTTCCACCTGATATCCCAGCATAATTATAACAATGCCCCCTTTCACTCTCCAGTGTACGGGGTTGATTGACAAATTCAACAGGTAGCCTGTCCATCACAATACCTTTTGACAGACACAAATGCTAATTTTTTTTAGTATCTCTAGGCTTAAAAGCCTCAAATAAATGAAATACACTACTTTGCTTTTCACTTTCTAATACCCCATCTCAAAACATTAACAGGTTCACATTTCTGATCAGCTTCAAAGCTAAAGAATTTTATGTAATTTCCCACTTTTATCATTTTATGGGGTAATAATTCAAAAAAATGTCTTTTATATAAATATTGATTAGAGTTGAAGATTTATATACCTCTCCCCTCAAAAAAAATTCCATGATATATATAGAAGGAATCTTGTACCTTAATTTACATAAGGTCAAAGAATATGAATCTAAAAACAGTAAGCATGAGATACACAATTTTCTCAAACCGAGAATATATTCTTAACATAAAATCAACTGTGAACCTTTAAAAAGAATTATTTTATGCTTCCATATTTTTTTTCTCCAGAGTTCGAGAACCATTTAAATTATTTCAAAGTTCAAATGAAAAACAAATGCACATTACCTGCATTTAAACTGTGGACTGGCACTTGCAAAGTAGTGGCAACCTTTTTTAAAATGTTCTGCATTTCTGGTCCAGTTTTGAAGGCTTCTACATGATAAAGAGCCGTAGCATTCTTTTCCACTTCAGTTAAAAACTTCTCACAATGATCAAAGAACCTCATTAGTTTATCATTAATTCTTGGAGGTCCACATTCCATGTCTGAAAGAGAACAATATTTTGTTTATATATACATATATATAAACAGATATATATATATATTATATATATCATCAATACAAGCGATAATTTCAGATTATTGAAAATTTTGCTTCAAGTGTGAAAAGGAACACAAAATCTGTTTATTGGTGTGTCTGAAATAAGCACACGCTGATCACAAAAGACAAGGCAAAGCTATTCCCCATTTGTAATGACTAATTCATGGGTTTATATCCTAGAAAAAACTAGAAGGAAGAAACAGAGAATCGGAGATAATACGTTACTGCTATACTACACAGTGAAAAAAAGGTGGTTGAAATAGTTTCTTAAAGCAAAAATAATTAGCATGAAAATCCTAAGAAGTGCAGAAATGTGTTGTAAGTACTGTTTCTGTCGTGTACAAAAAACTAGCAAAGCTCCTCATTACACCTGAAAGACTAATTCAGCAGATCAAATGTTTTTCTACTCTAAGCAAAGTCTACACAGTGTGTTTTATTTTCTCTTTAACTTTTCCAATGCTGTGTTACTTTACAAAAGACTCTGCTTTGGATAAAAACTACTGACAACAGCACAAACACATCGACGCTTCAGGTCTCCTGTATTTGGTGCTGGTTGGTGCTTCTGTTTTTGATTTATAACTAAAGCTCCCAGACACTTTCTATTTAGAATTACTAAATCCTATTATTTCCACAACTTGGCAGCAAATATATGTATTATAAAAGTATCCACAATCATGCCTCAACTACCAGGGGGCCTTTTTAAGTTTCTTCAGTGATGTTCAAAACTCATCGGTTCCAATAATTTCTCTGATAATTTACCACGAAAAGAACACCAAGAACACTACTTCTATATACAAAATGAGAAAATCAAGTCAGTTACACCATTTTGCTTTGGATGTGGGGGTGAAAAAACACATTTATATTTACGTATGTGTGTCTCCATTTCAGGATCTCCTGAAACGGAGAACTCTGCCCACAGTCACTGCCAACTGGATTATAGTTTGTAAAACATCTTGACTTGGAAAATAAGTGACTTTTATCATCTTTCTCTGTGGTCTCAAAAAACAATTTCCCAGGTGGATCTGGATTTTTCATCCTTGCTGTGAACTCATTACTGCTGCTCTTCAAACAGAAACAAAGGTACTGTCCTGAGTTGCTGGAAGAATACAAAATCTAATTCAGTGGCCTCCCGTGAAAGCCAGGGGTGCACAAGAGGCAAAACGACGGTTTATAGATAATAAAGTAGCCAGGCAAAGGGCTCAACCTCTATGACCTCATCCCAGGAGGGCCAGTAGCCCCTTTCTGGCCTACACTATACATACTGTACTATAGTGAAATGCATTTTGCTTTGAACGGTCACGTAACTTAACTCGTGGGGGATTTTCACTTCTATTAATCACTACAAAGCACAACAAGTGACTAAACAGAAGTCAGCCAAGAGAATGACGCACGTAGTGGGAACATGACACACATTCAGCGGAAAGGCCTCCTGGAGCCGCTGCACTGGATACGCGAGGATGCTACGGGAGAAAGGACAACCCAGTCTACTTCTAATTCACTCTTCACTTGGGTTTAAGGCTCAATGTCTCACTCCATCTCTGACCTTAGAAATGGGCAAGAAAATAGTAACACTTGCTCTTCTCTCTGGAACAAACATGTTACATGTTTTTATCCTTATTCCTGAATTACAGGAGAATGGAAGCTGTAGTTAAGGGTTGGGTCCAAGCGCTAAGTCATTTCCTGGGTCCATCCCTAGCCATAGGAAATTGGGAGGATCATCCAGTGTTTCTGTGGCTCAATCCCCTCTGCTGGGCAGGGAGAAAACACGACCAACGTCAGAGGGCTTTGGCAAGGATTTAGGGAAACAAATGTCAGGCATGCCTGGCACAAAGCCACATAGCCGGCGTTAAGTGTCTGTTAGTATTAGTATCCGTGGCTACGACACATTTTCTGTGCGGTGGGGAGGGCGCACCATGGGGTGGGAGGAAGACATGGATTCCAGGCTGACTCTGCTCCTCAAAGTAACCAGGGACAGTCAAGAGGGTATATACTCTTGGGCTGTTTCTCCACCTGTGGCACACGAGCCCCCCTCCCCCCCACTAGATGATCTCTCCCATTCTGCAAAAGTAACGGAATAAATCAAAGTCGTGTGACCGTGAGCCACAGCTGGGGGGGGGGGGGGAGGTAAGTTCACAGCACACACAACAGCAACACAGAGGGAAAACAGCAAAACAGCCCAGTAGTGGAGAAAGCTTGAGAGCAGCTTCCTAAAACAGGATGTGGCTCCAGAACCAACATGTTATAAAAAAAAAAAAAAAAAAAGTTGGTAAGCGAAAAAAACCCAAACAGCATGAGAAGCAAAGCCTGCAGAAAAAAAGTCCTGGAAGCAGCTGCCAGGGCGGAAGGAAAGGCAGGGCTGGCACCTGCCTGGGGTCGGGAGGCGGACCACCGCGCTCCCGCCCCGTCCTGCCCCCCCCCCCCCGAGCGGCCTGCGCACACCTGGGTTAGGCATGAGCGCGCCCCAGAGCGGCCCGGAGCACACCTGGGGAAGGGAAGAGCGCGCACCCTCGGGGCACACCTGGGTTAGGGCCAAGCGCGCACCCCCGGGGCACACCTGGGTTAGGGCCGAGCGCACACCCTCGGGGCACACCTGGGGAAGGAAAGAGCGCGCACCCCCGGGGCACATCTGGGGAAGGGAAGAGCGCGCACGCCCCGGGGCACACCTGGGTTAGGGCCGAGCGCGCACCCTCGGGGCACACCTGGGGAAGGGAAGAGCGCGCACGCCCCGGGGCACACCTGGGTTAGGGCCGAGCGCGCACCCTCGGGGCACACCTGGGGAAGAGCGCGCACCCCCGGGGCACACCTGGGGAAGGGAAGAGCGCGCACGCCCCGGGGCACACCTGGGTTAGGGCCGAGCGCGCACCCCCGGGGCACACCTGGGTTAGGGCCGAGCGCGCACCCCCGGGGGGCTCGGGGCAGGGCGGGGGCGCCGAGGCCCCGGCGTCAGGCGTCACCTGCGACGTCGGGCGGCGGCAGGCCGGGGTGCAGGTGCTGCCACAGCCCCTGCAGGAAGGCGGCGCCGCTGTCCACGCAGCGGTGCTTGGAGCTGGTGACCAGCTGCAGGCGGCCGTAGTTCTCGCGGCTGAAGAGAGCCGGGAAGAGGGCGGCCAGACGCAGCGCCAGCCGCCGCATGTCCTGCCGGCCCTTGTCCACCAGCTGCCCGTCCATCCAGTCCGCGTACCACAGCGGCCAGTCGGCCAGCGCGGCGCCCAAGTCGCGGCCGCCCGCCGAGGCCGAGCCCGCGCCCCCGCCCCGCCGGGCCTGCAGCAGCCCGTGCAGCTGCCGCAGCCTGCGGATCTGCTTGGCCGTCGGGTAGCGGGTGCCGTGGCGGATGAGGGCCACCAGCTGCACCGGGGTGCAGGCGTCCTGCAGCAGCTCGGGGTCCCGCCGCGGCGCCTCGGGGTCCCGCAGCAGCCCGGGGTTGGCATCCTCGTAGCGCGTCTTGGTGCCGAAGTAGGGGCTGAGCGCCGAGGCCGCGGGGTCGTCGGGCTCCAGGAGGGAGCAGCGCGACAGCGACGACAGCAGCGCCACCGCCAGGGCCGCGACCGGCGCCACGGACACCGGGGGCAGGCGCGGGCGGCCGCGGAGCATGATGCGGCGCGGCCCGCGGAGGGCGACGGGCGGCCTGGGCGCGACTTCCGGCTCCGGCGGGCGGGGGCGGGCCCGAGGGCGCTTCCGGCCTGCGCCCGAGCCCCCAGGAGGCGCTGCGCCGCGCGTGCGCTCTGGCGGCGGGGCGGGCAGGCCTCAGGGCGCGCGCCTGCGGCTCCGGCGGCGCCCGACTCCGCCAAGCCGCGCCGGCTGTTGGGGACGCTCCGGGGCCCGGACCCGCTGCACCCGGCGGGGCGGAAACCCGCCGCCCGCGGCGCCCCAGAGGCCGCGTTCTGAGCGTGGGCGGCCGGGCCCCGCACCCCAGCGGGCCTCCCCGAGGCCGAGCCTGCGCCCGGCTCGCAGGAAGCGTGCATCCGCCGGGCCGAGCCGAGCCGAGCCGAGCCGAGGGGCCCTGCCCTCCTCCAGGGAAGCCCGTTCCGCGCCCCGGCGGTCCCTGGAGCTGCGCCCCCGCACAGCAGCACCCCGAAGGGCGAGCGCCTGGCCGTGCAGGGAGCCCGCGCACCGTGAGCGGCGTGGAGCACGAGCCGATCTGCTGCAGGGAGCGCTCGTGCCCCTTAGCGCCCCCCAAGCTGGAGCGGCCCCAGCGCAATCCGCACTCCCGTCGGCTCGTGTGTTTGTGCTCATGGCTCAGCATCCTTGGCCCCAGGGACAAGAAGGACCCGTCATAAACCCGAACGATACCTCCCGTCTCCCCTCGAACACCGTTCTGTAGGCTCGTTGGGAAAAGAGTAGAGATGAGAGGAGTCCCCTGGTGACCCGGACTCAGGGGAGTTTGGGTCCAGTTTTACGTGATGGAGCTTCTCCTTCAAGGACCCTACTCGGTTGCTCTGGGTCAGCCCGTCTCCGTCTTGACCACCTTCCTCCTTGCTTAGGCGGCTCGGGCTCAGAGAGGCGTCTCTGTATGTGAACCCCTCAACAAGACGGTGAAAAACCAAGACCGCGTCCCCCACTTGGACGCCGCGAACTTTAAGACGTTCTGTAGCGGGAAGCCAGCTTTCCGTGACGTGCTCTTTTCCCGATAGGCCGTCTTGCAGAATGGATATCTGGGGCCCGTGATAGTTTTACAGAACCTTGCTCAAAGCGATGTTTGGTGAAATCTACCTTTTCTTCATGAGCTTCCTAACCCTTACATTTTATAGGCTGAAATGCTGGATGATATTTCTAAGTGTATTCGGCAAGCATTTGTGCCAGTTGCATGTTTCTTGCTTAATATGTGTGCCTGATAATGATCACCTCTCATGCCTGATCTTTTGCAAGCTCAGGAGGCACCAAATCTTCCCAAAGGCATCAACTTTCCTAATGGAAGTGACCTTTAGAGACCCTGTCTACCTACTTACAAAGTCAATGGCATACATTCTTATACACTAAATTTACCCTTAGCTTGATTTTTTTTCCCTTTCTTTCATTCCCCATCTCTCTCTTTTTTTTTTTTTTAAGATTTTTTTTTATTTATTCATGACAGACACACAGGCAGAGGGAGAAGCAGGCTCCTTGCAGGGAGCCCAATGCAGGACTCGATCCCAGGTTTCCAGGATCACACCCTGGGCTGAAGGCAGCACTAAATCGCTGAGCCACCGGGGCTGCCGCCATCTCTTAATGTTATACCGTTTTATATATTTATTAAACACACTCCAATCTTTCTGTTGTTATGGTGAAGATAACATAAAATTAAGCAATGTCTTCGTGTTTTTCTCTTTTTTTTTTTTAAGATTTTATTTACTTATTGATGAGAGACAGAGACACAGGCAGAGGGAGAAGCAGGCTCCATGCAGGGAGCCCGATGTGGGACTGGATCCTGGGACTCTAGGATTACGCCCTGGACCAAAGGCAGGTGCTAAACCACTGAGCCACCCAGGGATCCCCCCTTCATGTTTTTCATTAGGAAAAAGCCAGATGTAGTTAGAAGAGGGCAAAGAGGAAATAAGTCTTGGATCCTGACACCAACCTCTTCCAGTCATTCACTGAGTGTCCTTGGGAGGTAACTCAAGTTCTCGGAGACAACTAAGTCTCCTTATTTGAAAATTAGGAATATTAGAACTGACATTGTGGAATTATTGTGAGAATTACAGATGACATTTGAAATTCATAGGACAGGCTACCACGAATGGTATTTTTATCAATAAAGTTCAGTAATATTATGTGCTATTCCTGTGCTTAGACACATAGCTCTCTAGCAGCTATACTAGGTATAAACCTCCACTGGCCATTCAAAGGACTGACTTTCACAAGCCAGACATGCATCAAAGATCATTTCATGACTTTGTTTAAAGATTTTATTTATTAGCAAGTGAGAGAGAGAACGAGTGGCAGAGAGGGGCAGAGGGAAAGGGAGAAGCAGACTCCCCACTGAGCAGGGAACCCAACACGGGACTCGATCCCAGGATCCTGAGATCATGACCTGAACCACAGGCAGATGCTTAACCAACTGAGCCCCCCTCCCAGGAATCCCATAATTTTTCTAATAATAACAATCCACTCATCCTACTTAAATTGAGTTTCTCATTCTTAAAGCGGTGAGTACTTTTGAGAAGTTTTAAATAGACAACAGGCCCTGCTCATCTTTTCATGTCAGGCCATGTCTTAATCCTCTGGCCAGTCAGTAAGTTGGGTGCCCTTTGAGATGATTGCCCACCTTGTCCAATCAGCTAGTACCCAGGAGTCTGTGTGGTATAAGACATGGTTGCCTCTTGGTAAAGACCATGGATAGATTGCCTTCCCTCTTGTGAGGTTCTGAGCATGATAGCAGTGTATTCGACAAATCTACCATAACACAAGAGGCAGGATGGAAAATTAATGGTTCAGATTCCTTGAAGAGATGAGAGCATGGAACCAAGACCACAGAGAATTTGATCTGGACCAGAACCAGAGGAGACCTTATTTTCTGAGAGAAGACTGGCAGGGTGGATTCACATGTAGATACATTTGTTGGTCTAGCAGGACGGAATTCATGGAATCTAAGCCTGATGGCCTCAGTTTCTTCAGTGACAGGAGGCAAGATTGTCTGAAGAGATAGTAGAATTGGATTTTGGTCGTTGGAATGTAAAAATGGCTTGGATTTAGAACTGAGAGAAATGGGAAAGTAGTGGGAAAGGATCTGCAACCAAACGTAATAGGAAAAAAGAAAAAAGTTGGATGACCAGCTCTGGGGAAGGAGTTGAATTGCTAATTGTTATGCAATTTTATCCAGAAGTGAACATTATCTGTTGTGTCTTTCAGAGTGGAAAAGGAAAAAATTGAATTCTATCGTTTTACATTATTCTAATTTGTCTTAAGTAGAACTTTTCTATTCAATCCACTATATTAAAGAATACGCTATTTTTGCCAGATAATTTATTCATAGGACTTCTAAAATAGTTGTTCCACTCTTAAGATTGCATGGTGTCAAATATAATATTTTAAGTTACAGACATCTATAATACTTTTCTGATGGTTACTAAAGAAGAGGCTTTCTGGTGAGGAAATAATAAAGGAAAAGGTGAAATTCTTTGGGATAAAGGGTAGGCTGTCCATGTGAGCATAGAAAATACTGATTAAAAACATGGTTTCGGAAGTTAGACTTTCTGGTTATCAAATTCCAGCTTCATCACGTAATATATGTGAGATTTTGAGCCAGTTAAACTGTTGCCTCCGGACGCCTGGGTGGCTCAGCGGTTGAGTGTCTCTGCCTTTGGTTCAGGGCCTGATCCCAGATTCCCAGGATCAAGTCCCACATCGAGCTCCTTGCGTGGAGCCTGCTTCTCCCTCTGCCTGTGTCTCTGCCTCTCTTTCTGTGTCTCTTATGAATAAATAAATAAAATCTTTAAAAAATTTTTAAAAATAAACTGTTGCCTCAATTTGTTTTCTTCTGTGAATTGGGGATAATACCTATGCTATATGGCTGTTGATAGGATTAAAGGAGGCAGTTTATGTAGAGACTCTCTATAGTTCTGGCCCCAAATCACTTTGTAAGTTTTATTGAGCATAATTAAAATGTTTCTTGTTAACACTTTTCCTTTAACGGAGTAAACAGACAATGGCTAGTTTGTCATAGATACTTGTTATCTTACAACTACATTAAGCAACTAACCTTGTACCTATTTCAAGAAAGTTTTAACTCTAGTATCTTATTGCCCTGCTGTTTCATCTTTCCATTCCTACTTATAGATTTAGTGCTTATTTGTTTTTTATTGCAGTAGAAACAGCCAACAGAAGAAGGGCCCACGTGTGTGGACAGGGCAGGGGTGACCCATGCTTCAACAGAAGTCCCTTCAACCTCACTTGAATGTGGAGATTGCATAGATCACCAGACTCCACTGATAAGATATACCTTTGCTCAAAAGAAACAATCACTGATAGCAAACCCCTACATTGTTCCCCAGCATCTACAAACCAAGCTGAACTGTTTAAAGTTGTGTTTCAGTTGATGAAAAGAACTTTGCTGAACTGCGCACAGTGATGGAGGGGACTTGCTATTTTTACATTCTCTATGATGCCTTGCTAAGGGGGTTATTTTGTGGTGAATAAGGTTCTTTTCTAGTGTCTTGACACGCCTAGGACTTTGATGGGAGTTCTTCCTTCCCATCACATGTGGGTTTTAAAGCCACTGAACTGTTTCAGAAACTAGATACAATGTTTTTTTTTAATTTTTTTAAAATTTTTATTTATTTGTGAGAGAGAGAGAGAGAGAGAGGCAGAGACACAGGCAGAGGGAGAAGCAGGCTCCATGCCGGGAGCCCTATGCGGGACTCAATCCCGGGTCTCCAGGGTCACGCCCTGGGCCAAAGGCAGGCGCTAAACCGCTGCACCACCCAGGGATCCCTAGATACAATGTTTAAATTGGCAGGATTCTTACTTCCACTTAATAGGAGGAAACTGGAGCTACTCACTTTCTAGTCATGTTCTGTAATGATTTTCCTGTACATGCCAGTACTGTTGCTCAGAGACAAAATTTCCTCCAGAAGTCCCCTCCAAAATATCTTGTTATCCATCACAAAGATGAATAATATGTTCTAAATTTGGGGGAAAAATTTCTCTTCTTCCCTGTATTTTTCA